TCATGAGTCTGCACTGATAAAGCTGTATTTGAATGCCACTAGCAATTCTCATTTTAAGCTCTTTCTCTATTACGGCAGGTCGGCGGTATGGAAGGAAATGTTCGTGAAGTGTTTTGTTATTCTCTACTTTACTGCTTTTTTATGAAGGTGGCTAAATATTTGACTTTTTCTAGAATGCACCGGTTCAAACGTTGAAAGAGCAAAATGAGTAAGTGGATTTCTCCATTAATAAGGTCGTATTCTCAGTCACAGCTCTAGCTTCTTTCATCGTAATTTTCACTTCTTCAATTCTATTCGGACCCTACTCTATCAATCGATAATATCTGAACCGTTTGCTGATTCTATGAGTTGGGGCAACGCAGGACCAGAGCTGGCGAGGAAGCTAACATAGTTTTGCTGCTTTTCGTGTCACAACTGTTACCGCCGCGTGCTGATGGAGTAGCACCCAACAATTATGAAGCATCCGAAACAACAGTTGCGATAACACTTGTACACATAATTTAGACGGGCTTCATGTGCGGCATTCCTTTGAAGCATCATCCCTGTCGCTTGTTGGTCCCCCTGACTCTCCTGCGCCTACATTCTTTTTTCATGAAGTTCCTTGCCGCGCATACTCAAGGAGGCTCAGCATTATTCTGGTGACATTCACCATCTGGAATGCATAATCGTTCGGATACTAATCTTTCCAGCAATGTCTCACGTAGCCCCTCGAAGGAAGATGCTGAAAATAACGGAGGTCATACGGTAGGTATTCTTAACAAAAGCACTTAACAAGTCCATTCTACGCTCCTCCCTGTTGTTAATCGGTGGATTCCTCCTTCGAATTTCTAGCGCTTCTTTGATCTTCCTCTCCACCGGCTCACTAATGTTCCTGTGGATTCCTTCAGACTTGTCAACGTACAACGTAACTACACGTAACCGCTACAGACAAGAGTGCTCAAAACTAGAGGAGATGATAAGGAAAGGTATTACGCCCACATTTGGAAATAAAGACCCTGACTCGACTTCTTCCCTAAGTATACGTGCATACCCACGTATTACCAGCTTGTAAAAACGCACAAACTGGAAGCCTCTGGAGAAAGAGTCATGGTTCACAATGACAACATCAAGACGAGACCAATTGTCTCCTCATGCGGAGGTCCAACCGATGCAGTTAGCTGGTTCTTGCAGCACATGCTATCACCGTTGCTCAACTACGTACCAGCACATCTGAAGAATGCAGACCATTTCCTGGGTAACTTGCGAGGGACGGCCATTCCTATCGATTCTAGAACAACATATCAAAGTTTCGATGTGTCTGCGTTGTACACGAACGTAGATACAAGGTTGCCGTGGAAGCGTGCATAAATCTGCTACGACAGCATCAGAACAGTTGTCAACTTTACGGACTGTCCATCGACGATATAGAAGAACTTCTGATAAATGTTGTGAAATTCAACATGTTTCGTTTTCGGAACAACATTTATATGCAGACGCGTGGATTAGCAATGGGCAGTCGAATTGCACCGCTTCTCGCAATCCTATTCATGGATCGTTTGGAAAGGCGTTCGCTATCATCGGGATTGCTGTTCTACGGCCGTTACATAGACGACATATTTGTCGTTGCGAATAGACGACATATTTGTCGTTGCGAAGTCCAGAACAGCATTACGTCAAACCTTCTTGAAGCTGAACTCAGTGCACTCAACTATTGCACTGACTGTCGAGGAACCTGAACACGATGGTTTCCTTCCGTTCTTGAACACCAAAGTGAAACTGTCGGCAGGAAATATACTTTCCATGTGGCATAAGAAACCTGCTTCGAAGAACATCCTTGATCCACTCGAGAAGCTGCCACCCTCTTTTCATGAAGAGGAATGTAGTTCAGAATGCCTTGACGACAGCTCGGAGGTTGACGTCCTCCGATGTCCGTCTTCTCGAAAACGGATATGGAAGAAGACACGTAAACTGTTGGCGCCCATATCAGGTACCAGAAGGCATTCCACTGATACTTCCGTATCTATCAGACTCCTTTGCGAAAGATGTAAATCGTGTTATAAGGAGGTCGGGGATGCCAATTCGCCTGATGTTTCGACCACCGCCAACACTTCGTCGTCTCCTTACGTCGTCACGAGTGTACGAAGACCGATGTGGCCGCGAGAACTGTGCTTACTGCCGAGAGGGACGAAAATCTGCCTTTTGATGAACACCGTTTACGAAGTAGAGTGCGCGTCATGTTCAGAATTCTACATTGGAGAAACGGGACGGCCACTCTACAAAAGGCTAGATGAACATCTAAGGGCTTTCCGGAATCCAGCCAGCTATCCGGATAATCCCTTCTCAAGACATCGTTCCTCACGCCACACGAATGAACGCGCCTGAACTCAAGGTGCGCGTAATCCACAGGAACATTAGTGACCCGGTGGAGAGGAAGATCAAAGAAGCGCTGGAAATTCGAAGGAGGAATCCACCGATTAACAACAGGGAGGAGCTAAGAAGGACAATGGAGCTGATTGCTGCACCATGATGTGACATAACTGGTGATACGTGACATATGACAAATGACAGGGTATCAGCTATCACCATCTCATCCCTGCTTCACCAATCTAGCTGTCCCATTTCCAGACGGAAGGACCACCATTCATTACATCCAAGACCATTTTGCAGCAAACTCCCGCACCCACTCCTACCCCAGACCCTCCCTTCCATAAGTATCCGGTCAGTTGTTAATTGAATGTTCCCTCTTTTGGATTTCTTGTTATGTATGTGTAGTAATTAGATGATGTTGGTGTAAGCGATATGAAAGATGTTTGTAGACCTGAAGAAGGGCTTACGGCCCGAAACGTTGTCATGGAATAAAGGACTGGAAAGAGTTTCATTATATCCACCACAAAGAAACTTATGGACACAATGAAGA